CTCTCTCTTTATATACAAATACTATATATACACTCAAAGATGATAAGACATTACATAATGTATTAGTAGGTAGAAAGTCCCTATAGTGTTGCATTACACTGCTTGCATGGGTAATGTTGGACACTAGTGATTATTATAATAACAAATCTCATTTTTACTTTCATAATGATTTCAAAAAACAGTATATGTGACCCAATATGAGAAAACCAGGCTATCTGCGGGGGAATTATCAATTAGAGATATGGCTTCTTAAAGTTGTGACAGTGGTACCTTATCAAAACAGATTATACCATAAATGGATTGTATAAAGAATTTCCTTTCATTTGATACCAAGTTTGCCAAAAAATAACTTGAAAGAGGTCATTTACAGACCTTTCTTTTTGTTGTGCTCCATGTAAATAATGCAAGATATAATGACAAAAAATGGCTGTAACTCAATTTCATTCGTTTAGACTTCTTGTTGCATAAATTAGCATAACTCAGCACTAAATGTGTCAAATGACATGGAAGAAGGACCAAAAGATAGGAAAAACTTTGCTTAATTAAAAAAACCATAAATCTCAATTTTCAATTTTGGAGCATATAGCCTGGTTTTCTCATATTGGGTCACATATATATATACTGAGTATTATAAAACCCATAATAATACTGATTCATACAACCAATAATACTGTGATTAATAATACACATACATGTACATATATTGTCACTCTGTTAGTCTCTCTCACTGAATGCCTTTGGTGTAGGCAGTGGCCAATAGACCAGCACACTTAATAATCCTATTATGCCAAACACACCAACCAATACTAGTGATGTAGCAACTAAGGGGGAGAGAGATAAGGAAATTAGGACATGATATTGGAATGTGTTTGTCTCTCTTCACATTAGCAATAATCTCTGTACATTGCATCCTCAGTGAACATGCATCTGTTGTTGGCAAGGCTATAATGGGCAGTGTAAATTAGTCAATGTCTCTGTCTCACATGAAACTCTCTAAACAGCTCAAGACTCAGGAGTCACGTGCTGCTGAAGCTTCAAAAGAAACTGAACAAGCTCTTCAAGATAAGGCAGTCATTGAGGAGGCACTGGAGCTGGAGAGAACTAGAATGCAAATACAACTAGCTCAGTTCACTAAACTCATCAACTATAGACACAACACACCTAGTGCAGCTAAGAAGAGGAGTAACCCCAAGAAGGTACCATATTGCATTGTAGTGTATGTGTGTATAATTTTTTTTTTTATTTCTTAGGGTTTAAAGTTAAGCCGTAAGAAACGTGATCCAGAGAAGGAGAGAAGTGAATGGATGATATTAAAAGATATTGCAAAGAACTCTAAAGATAATAAAGGTATATACACTAATGATCAATTGTATATGTATAAAAAATGTTTTTAAAATAGCACTTTTGTATGCATATACATGTATAATACACACTAAAACTACATGTACACTGTATATAGTTATTATCTTCTTTGCCCAATGCATGG